TGAGTAAGCAGTTTCCAGAGCACTTTCCTCTCTAGCCTCTGACTTGCATCCCATGGGGCAGGCTATGGAGACTCGCTCCCAGGAGCTATAAAATAGCCTGGTGTTTTAGGAACTTAGGAACTGTGATCTGCGGTAAAAGCTTTCCCCTAAGAGAGATTTAGAAGAAGCTTTAGGATAGAGTGTGGCAGGAGGGGAACCAGTGGAAATGTCTCCAGAGAACAGGGTTGAAATGAAGGAAAGTCAAGGGTGGTAGAGCTCAGGGCAGCAAGAGGCGCTGCTCTGAGTGAGCAACCTCACCTCCCACTAGAGAACCTCCTTTGCCTGCAGGGCAGCAGCATCTTATACAACTGACATTCCAGCAAGTCCAGACGAGTCCCAACATTTTCCCTGGAGGGAGGAAAACGCTTGAGCCTTTTGGCTGACTGCAGGTGATTTGACAGTTTTACGTGGGCTTATTACCGCCAGCATTTGGGGGACTGTTTCATCCATGACCTCCCCAAAGCTATCCCTTCAAATTAGCATTTGGATCTCTGCCCAGCCTTGCCAACCAGACAGGGAGACAAGCCTGAAATATGTTTTCCTAAAGAGTGCCGGAATGCTTTCCCCCTGTTCTTTTCCCCACAAATTAGCTTGTGAAAGAGAGGGGAAAGGACCATTAATCCCCTTTCTTCTCCTCTGCACTAATTTATACCAGCACCAGATAATATCATGTCAGAGAAAAATAATGCTTGAAGATTCACTAAAAAAAGGAAGTGGCAGGTGGTAACGCCCTGGTGCCCACATAGGACTGAATAGAGGAGCGCGGAGGGAGAGGTTTGTTCATGTTGCCTGTTCTGAGGCTAAAAGGAGAACTAATTTATGTGTGAGGGGGAAGAAATGAGTATTGAATTCTGCAGCCTTGTTCTTCTCAACCTAGAGGATGTAATTATAATATGCACTGAACATTGCCAGATATTTAGTATTCTACCTCTATAACTTCATAACGGGAACAAATTATATGAAGAAAAATTATTTTGTTGCTCCGACAGTAAGTGAGGCAAATACTTTATGACCTTATCTTTCCTTTGGAATTATATCAACAGCCAAGCTGACTTGTTGGTTGGCTGTGCATAAGAATATATTTAAGCCCTGGCTATTTGTGCAGTGGTTAGAGCATCGGCCTGTGGACCAAAGGGTTGCAGGTTTGATTCCCCCGTCAAGGGCACGTAACTTGGTTGCAGGTTCCCCAGCTCCAGTAGGGGCCCTTGAGGGAGGCAACCAATTAATGTGTCTCTCTCATGTCCATGTTTCTCTCGGCACTTCTCATCGCCCCCATTCCCTTCAACTCTCTCTTGAAATCAATGGAAAAAATCCTCGGGTGAGGATTTACAGAAGAATATATTTAAGATGTCTGCAGAATGCTTTTCTCCCAGTGTCAAAAACTCATGTTTTCTAAAAGTATCCATGAGATTAAGATGGCACAGATAAACCCGGGTCTTTTGGGTGGGTGGCATTGGATAGCTGTTACTCCTTGATTTTACAAAGCTCTCTTTGCTGCTACAGGTGCCCATAAAATAAATAAGGCTTTTGTAAATAGGTATTAGAGCACTGAACTTATATCTATGTGTCTATAGTATCTATCATCTATCTATCTATCTATCTATCTATCTATCTATCTATCTATCTATCCATCTATCCATCCATCCATCCATCTTTCTATCTATTAGCACGTGATGAACCCCTTGATCCCTAATGTCCCTTCGGTGAGAGAGGTTCACTGCCTTAGGGACAGGAGTAGGCGATGGAAAGGAGGGGACTTCTGTGACTTGACCCTGAGTGAGAGATGGGAGTAATTCCTTTTCTCTGTGCACTTTGGGTCACCCTCTGGGGCTTATTCTGTGGCTTTCACACCGTTTTCCTGCTGAACGTTCCATGTTATTCCCATAGCTCTCCAGCTTATTGTGAAGAGGGAATCCCCTGCTTAGTTTTATGTCTCTTGAGTTAGATAATAGATTTACATCATTAGAGAGTTTGAAAGTGCTGGAGAGATTAGTGAACACAGCCCTCTCATTTCACAGATGAGACTGTTCTGGTGATTGACAGATTGTTGTTATAATTAATTTTTGTGGTCTCTGTCTGAAAGGTGGTGTGATTGCAAATGTTTCAGAAATGACAGTGTTTCTGAGTAGTAAAGAAATCATGCTCTTGTTTTAATGAAGTGAAATGACTAGATGTTTAGAAGCAATCTCCTAATTTGTAATAAAGAAGTTCACTTTAAGTTGTTTTATATGCAGCCTTCAAATTTTACTTTACTTAAGATATATAAATGATCATTATATATTTTAAACAGTAATTTGCTCTCTGATGACAAAAGTAAAAATGTTTATTGATGAAAATTTAGAAAATAGAGAAGCATACAAAAGCAGAGGAAAACAACCACTAGTAATCCCCAAACTCTAAAAACCACCGTTACGGTTCTTTCAGTTTTTTGGAGAGGGGGTGGCAGTGGCGATGGGTGGATACTGAGATAGATAGACGGATAGATAGAGACATAGGGCTTACATAGTTGTAATTATACTGTGTACACAGTTTATATCTTGCTTTTTTATATAATATTATGTTTAAATAGTTCCCTAGCATATTCTTGGAGAGCATGATTTTCTATTATTAAGCATTTGGGTAGCTTCCAGTTTTCACTAAAATATTTCTAATTTTACTATAAAGAACAGTGAAATGGAATTTCTTGTATTTAAACTTTTATGTGTTTCATTGATCATTTTTTTAAAATAACTTCTTAAAAGTGAAATTAGTAGGTCAAAGCATCTAAAGGTTTTGAGTATTGAGGCTGTGACATCTATGGTCATTATTAAATGCATTTTCAATCATCTGTGTCTAATGATAAACCCAGTGAGGACATCACAGAGAGCACAGGCCCCACCTGGCTGAGTTATTCCCATGCTACAGTGAGGAAGGCTGTGGGTGGGAGAAACACCCTCCACTGCAGCTTCTAGCACTAACTACTGTGAATTTTTTTTTAAACATATTTTATTGATTTTTTACAGAGAGGAAGGGATAGGGATAGAGAGTTAGAAACATCGATGAGAGAGAAACATCGATCAGCTGCCTCTTGCACACCCCCCACTGGGGATGTGCCCGCAACCCAGGTACATGCCCTTGACCGGAATCGAACCTGGGACCTTTCAGTCCGTAGGCCGACGCTCTATCCACTGAGCCAAACCAGTTAGGGCGCTACTGTGAATTTTAACTCTTCCCTTACATGATTTTAAATAATATCCAACTTTATTTTCATTAATATTTCTTTGCAATTAAGAAAGTTGAATATTCTATAAGCTTATTGCCATTTTTTTCCATTGAGATTTTTCCTATTGTTTGTCAGTACTTTTAGATGTCAATTTTTTAAAATTAATATAATTTGCAATCATTAAATCAGTTTGTCATTTTGCCTTTTAAGTTGTTTAGAATGTATTTTTGACAGACTTTTAAAATTTTATCTCACCAGGACCTGTCAATTTTTCTCTTGAAATGTCGTGCTTAGCTTTTATGCTTAGGCCTATCAGCAAGTTGTGGGCTTGCCCATCTGTATGCTGTACTACATTTGAAATTTTGTGTTTAATTACAGCAGAAGTGAAAATTGATGGGAGAGGACTTGGTCTGGGCATGCATGTCCGTTCCCACAACCACAGCTGGCACGTCGGTGTGAACATGGGGAGGGAGGCCAGGAACTCATGCTGGGGAAATCGGGGAGAGAATTGAGCTCCTTCTATCTGCCACCCCCTCTTGTTGGCTCTTTAATCAGCTATCTGGAAACTGAGATTTAGGAAGATTAAGTCACTGACCCATAGTCCCCAAAGCAGACTGGGCTGAGCTGGGATTCCAGAACACACACGCATCCCAGGAAATCCTTGGTTTGTCGGACTCAGCACATGACTTGCATTGCTGCCCCCTTGTGCTCCCAGGAAGGCCACCTAGAGGACAGAAACCTTCAGGACAGTAAGGTGAGGGCTTGGTTCCCAAATAATTAAATGACTGTGACTACCTATTATTATCATGGCTATAATAATAGCTCAGGTTATTAGTAATTCCAAAATGAAAGATTGGCCGTGCTTGCAATGTTGCAGCCATTTGCCAAATAAAGAGGTACTGACTTGCTTAGGTAAGACAGAGTTTTTTTGTGTTTGAGAGAGATGAATAATTATGCTGGATGCTGGCTTGTGCAGAAGCAAAAGGACTTCATTTTCTATGCTTCTCAGTGACACAGTTGTAATCCCCAGATTACATTAGGTGATTGAGCACCGGGAATGTGTGATGTTTTTTAATAGGAGTCTATACTACATTAACAGAGGCAAAAGAAAGGAGGTTCCAATATTAAAGAAAATCTTATAGGAGGAAAACTTCATTCATTAAGCTAATTTTTTCCCCTACATCTTATAAAAGGCCACCATTATTTCATTCTGCCCGTGAGAACATATTTTGACAGCTACTTCCCTAAGCAATCAACATATTTGTAGCTTTTTACATTTAGGGTTCACCTCCTCTTACTCTGCATCACACCTGAGAGTGGCCCATTTAGATATTTTGGGTACTCAGTAAATCACATGGTAACACAAAACAGGGCTCTGTTAGATCACTGAGACAGTGCTAGCTTTGGGAATGCTGTATCCCAGTCTAAAGTGGATTGGGAGCGTTCTCTAAGTGTCGATGGGCACTCTCACAGGGAATGAGTGGACTCTGCAGTTTGTGTGAGAACTGGATGGAGCAGGTGCCTCCTGCTGGCTGTCACCCTTTCCCCAGGACCATGAGGTCATTGGAAGAAAGGAGAGAGGGGTCATGGAGGGAGGAAGAGAGGGAAGGTGAGCTGAGGGAGAGAAAGAATTGAGAAAGCTATTGAAAACAATATAATCATTATAAAATATTAAGTAGTTGTATGTGTAAGTGTAGTGTGAGAACTGGATGGAGCAGGTGCCTCCTGCTGGCTGTCACCCTTTCCCCAGGACCATGAGGTCATTGGAAGAAAGGAGAGAGGGGTCATGGAGGGAGGAAGAGAGGGAAGGTGAGTTGAGGGAGAGAAAGAATTGAGAAAGCTATTGAAAACAATATAATCATTATAAAATATTAAGTAGTTGTATGTGTGTGTGAATTTTACTCTGGGTTTTATAGAATTTTTAAGTGATGGGATTGGGGTAATTTTTATTTCCTTTTTGTGCTTTTCTGAAAATTTCAAATATAATCTGAGGGATAATAAAATAAAAGCTAGTTTTTAGACGTGGGACACTGCAAACCCTGGTCTTAATCTTGCAAGCTTAGAGCCTTCTTCCATCTTTCCTGGGCTCCATTCTTCATTTAAAAAGGTTGGTTTGTGTTTGGCCAAATGAAAATGTATATTCTGGCAATAACCTTCTTTTTCTTTTCCCCCCCTGACACTCAGCATGGAACAGAGTGGGCCTCCTCTGTGTGTAGTGTGTGCTCCTGCGCTCACGGAGAAGTCCGATGTAGTCCTCAACCATGCCCACCGCTGTTGTGTGGACACCAGGAGCTGGAATTCATCCCTGAAGGAAGCTGCTGCCCCATCTGTGTGGGCCCTGGGAGTGAGTATGAGCTTGTAAAAAGAGATCCGCTTTGCCTTTGAGGTTCACTCCGTGACACCCCAACTCTTCTCTTTCACGTTCAATGTGGTTCAAAGATTCCCAACCCCATTTCTTATTGGAACAAGACGGAGCCTTGCACTTGGCAGGAAGGGATGTTGCAAAGAGTGAGGTTGGAACAAATCTTTAAGCTTCCTCCCAAACTTAGCATTCTGCAAGTCCCTGATTTACCTATTTTGCCATGGCCAGATGCATCCCCCTGCATTCATAGCTCCTGAGAAGGAAAGGAAGGAGGGAAAAGATCCTTTGATGTGATTCCATAGCACCAAGGTAGTTCCTCTGGGCTCCTGGCGGAGAGGAGAACGAACAAATCTCTCTGAATGTGGTATCACTGGCACTAATTCTGCTGGCTGGTCTTTGAGATGGCATAACATTTTTCTCCAAGACACACAGAGCAGGAAGCAGGTATTTCATCTGTCTTTATTGCATCTTCGCTGTGGAGATCATGCCTGCCTCCAAACCAAGGCACAGTTTGGCAGGCCAGCAGCACACTGCCAGGCCCTCTCCTTGGAATTCACTCCTGGTCCAAGTACCACTTTTATTACATTTACGGATATATGTCCCCTTTCTTCACAATAAATGTGAATTGTTGTCATGGCTGCATTATGCTCTTTCCTGGCAAGTAATACCTAATTTTTCTTTCTTTCTTTCTTTTTTTACTTAATGGCACCTGGAAGCTCTACTCTTCTTGTCTTTTCCCTTTAAAAAGACCCCTGGTTTCTTTCTGATCCTCAATTATTCCTTTTCTGGCCAGCTCTTCCCCTGGAGAGCCATTCCAGGGATTAAATAGCATGTGAGGAAATGATGGAAGTAGAATGCTTGCCTCGTGCCTTTCTGATTCACTCACCAGAAAGGGACTGGCAGCTGCTTTAAGTCAAATTACCCTGCAAATAAAAATGCTTGAACCCCACAGGGTTTAGGGGTGGAGTGGAGAGTGGGCAGTGTGAGTCTGTGGGGTCCTGGCTCATGTTTTAGGAGTCTTTCTTGCTGGCCTCCATGAGAAAGACTCATTGGAAGAATTTTGTCTGGAGAGACTGGAGGATCAGCCAGGGCCGACTCCATAATCTGCGGGGTGGTGTGCAAAATGAAAAAGTGCCGGCGCCTTGTGCAAAAAGCCATGGGTATGGGGGATGCTTTTTCTTTCCTTCTGTGGACTTTTCAACCTGTCCTGTTTCAATTTGCTATTTTATATCATATTCCCTCAGGTGTGGAGATACTTGCTGGGTGGGTGGAGTCCTCCATGGGCTCCCAGGACCCCACCCTGTTACTTGGTGCTTAGGACACATGTACTCCCCTGGCACCGCATCCAGGCCCCCGGGTGGTGGAGGGTGGCAGGTTTTGGAGCAGGAGGTGGAGAGTTCATCCCAAAAAGGCAAAGAGGAAGCGGGAGGTGGGACTGTGCACCAGCTGAGACCCTGAACCACAGTGCATGCTCATTGGACTTCCCTTACAAAATGGATAGTTATTAAGAACTCCGTACAATGACTGCAAAGCATTAAGCCCTAAGAATGGGGTGCCCTTCTTTGTACTGGGGCCCAACATGGGACCCCATGTGATTGCACTGGCCACACACCCATGCATCAGCCCTGGGATCAGCAAGTGCAATCGCCCCAGTAATTTTTCTTTCTCTGACCTTCCAGAGTCCTGTTCCTACGAAGGCCGTGTGTTTCAGGATGGGGAGGACTGGCCACTGAGTTCGTGTGCCAAATGCATGTGTAGAAATGGGGTCACCCAGTGCTTCGCGGCTCAATGTCAGCCTCTGTTTTGTAATAAGGTAAGGAAGACAGCCTCAGAATGGATCCTTCCCAGACTGTTAACTTCACTGTGCAGGGCTTGGAGTCCCTTCTGAGATTATGTCAGGCACCACGGAAGTTTAGGAACAAGGAGCCAAGGCTGTTTTGTTTCCCTTATACTTTTGGAGACCACTCCTGAGACCTTGATTTTACCCTGAGAGGCTACAGTTAGTCTAATCACCAGCCATTTAGGCTAATTGTTACATTATGAAACTGAGCCTTGAGGGTGAACAAAAGGAAGCTGCCCACCCCAGTTGCAGATGTTCCAAAAATGTCAAGCTCAACATCTGGAAAATTCAGTAATATTAATCAGATTTGTTACTGTCGGACAATGCAAAGGTATATGCTGCTTTTTGAAGACATATATTTGTCTTTAGACATGATTATACAGCCGTACACTATTTAATTCTTATAAGATAATGCTTCAAATTATCAAAGGATCTTCTCTGGGGTGGTTTAAAATAGTGGGATCTTACTGTTCTTTTAAAGCTGATCTGATTTTCAAAACATTAGGCTTGTCACACAAATTTAAAACAGAAAATCAATTGCAAATAAATGTACACATGGTATTGTATAGTTTTTTACTCTTCCAGAGGCTCCTACGGAGATTTCTTGGCAGTTGACTGATAACCACGAAAAGAGTTTGCTTCCAGTGAAAAAAATAGCTCATTTTTTTTGATCTAGGGAAAAGCTGGAAGCCAACATTCAGTTGATACAGAGCAGTACTTTGTGTCAAATAAAACAAAATCAATAACATGGCATATTGTGACAATTGGGCAATATTTTTAAAGGCAGACAAAAGGCAATTAGACAAGAAGTACTAAATGCCGAATAAAAGGAAAATGTATCTAATTGAAAGACTAGATTGTATTACCCACAATACACCCAATTACGCTCATGACACATCTCTTAATTCATCACAAAGTCTGTCCTAGCTTTAAGATTACAAATGAGCTTCTTGGTAGAGATGTACAATATCTTACATTCGGAGGACACTGTAGTGTTGAGGTATTTTGATTTACACATTCCAGGTCTCAGTCCCCTCCTGAATAAAGGATAATTAAGCAGTTTGCTGCCAATGCAATTAAGGAGGTGGGAGAAGGGATGGAGGAAACACCCCATTGGGTGTTTGGTAGCATAATTGAGAGTTAATTGATGTGCAACCATTCTGAAGTATTAGAAATAGGTTGATTTTAATCCCTCTTGCATTATTAAGTCTACATTTTTGTCATGACATAATTTAAAAAAAAACCAACTGTCAGATTATTTAGAACTATTTTTTATTTAATATCAGTATTAAATATTGGGTGTTCTGATGATGTAAAGAGATGCTGTAGAATTAGCACTTTTGATAGAAACATTATCACCACCACCATCTATCATCACCACATGCTGGGCATTTATTATGTACCAACAATTTGTTTTGAGAGCTTTAATTAATCCTCAGAACAACCCTGAGAAGTAGGAATTTTATTATCCCATTTTAGAGTAGATAAAACTGAGGCACTGAGAAGTAAGTAGTTTGCTCAAGGTACCAGAGTTAGAAAGTGCTGGGAGCTGGTCCATCCTTGCTGCTTGACACAGTCGCTGCAGAGAAGAAAGTAAGTAGTTTGCTCAAGGTACCAGAGTTAGAAAGTGTCAGTGCTTCTAGCTTAGGCAGTTCTACATCATCATTCTTTTATATATTAACTCTAAATATTTTTTAAGAATATTTTAAAAAACCCACAAGTTCAGTAGAAGAAATGTATTTCCAGGTCTTGAGCTCTAGAAAAATTTAAATTTTAATATAAGGTTTTTTAATTATAAAAATAATTTGTATTCATTAAGTAAAGTTTGGCAAACACAGGAAAGAAAGTGATCCTCCATATTTTCTGTGGGGAGCCGATATAGGGTTAAGCCTCGGACTGACCTGTTGGCAAAGTCACAAACAGGTCTTCTGAGTCTTAAACAACCCAATCCGAGAGGTGGCCGCTGATTTACACGCGCTGTCATTTAAAAAATAA